TTTTACCATGTCCAAGGAAGATATAAGAATTAAAACATGCCTATTTCTAAAACTGTGGCTAGACTCGGAACACCAAGACACACTGTTGTCAGTCTAAAGTTACACACACTTTAACAACTGGGTCAGCAAAAAAGTATTTTTTGCTGTACGGGAAACACTAAGCACCATCTGTACAATTAAGTTTTATCGGGCAGCAACATGTTGAAATGAATGAAGTGGAAGAAACCATCTGCCTGAACCTCTACTTAGTCAGGTAAGAATATTTTTGTCCTCTATTTTTATGAAAATTAAAAATGCAGTGCATGTGCCATTCAGCTGTAATGTATTTGGGAAGGATGCTTTGTACCCTTACACGTCATTGGTTCAAAATAGCATAACACAGACCCATAAAAGGGACCAAAAAAAAAAGTAAACCCAAAGAGTTTGCTACCTACATTTCACTTTGTACTTTTACAACTTAATTAAGGATAAGTAGATTTTCAGTTGTGTTGGTTGTGATCCTCTGGTGCAACTGACAAGCAGTTGCAAGGAGTGAACTTTACACAGCATGACTTCATCACATGAGAGCGGTCTGCCATTTTTCCTGTTTCTGTTCAGCAAACATGCACAGCAACCTAACCTTCAAAATGCATTACACACTCCAGAATAGGTTCTGTTTCAGCTTTAACTGATAACCTGCAATGACAATATGCGTGTTCTATAGTTCAGTTATGATCTGCAAAAGTCAAATCACCAACCTGAAGTGGGAGCTGTACCTAATCCAAGAGTCATTTTAAATCCCGTGACAAAAAGTTTAGAAAGTACAGATTAGAGTATTTTCTCCCATAAAATGAAAAAATATATATATCCATTGTCCGCTCTGCCTCGAATTCTGACCGGGTGTCCGTGGTACCATAGAAGTCATCAGAACACGGAGACCTCCCGTGCACCACGAGAGGAGGCTTCCCCCCTTCCACTTCCCCACCTCCCTGGCGCTGGGACCGATCCTCTAGTCCCATCCCCGCCCGTCGTTGCTAGGCCGAGAGAGAAGCGCCCTCGCGGGTTTCCCTCTCTCTGTTCAACCTCCAGCCTATCCTCTTTGCCGCCAGTTCGCAGGGCAGGTCTCTCGCCGAACCACTGCTCGGAAATACAAGTGCCTCGCGCTCCCGAAACATCGCTTCCCCTCGCCCCCCCCC